TATACATTGTGACCGAAAAGTTTTCGGAAATTCTCATTTAAAATTCGCGCGCTGTATATTTTTCGATATTTTAAGTTTATGTAGTTTGGCAGCACTGTCATTAATTACTATGCCAAAAATGAGCGCGATCTGTCAGACAGTTCGTTTACGGCAGCTGTTGAAACCAGTTCACCTCAGTAGTGCCTTGCGAAAAAAACAATGGAAAAAAATATTGATCAAAGAGTTTGCATCAAATTTTGTGTTTCGAACGAATTTTCGTGTGCAGAATCGTTGCGAATGCTACAAAAGGCTTATGGGGAATCAGTTTTATCGAAAACTCAAGTTTATGAGTGGTACAAAGCCTTTCAGGACTGTCGTACGACCGTCGAAGACATGCCGCGTTCTGGACGACCTTCGACCTCTACCACCGACGAAAACATTGAAAAGGCAAAGGAAATCGTGTTCAAAAATCCTCATGTGAGTGTTAGAGAGATAGCACGAGAGCTAGGCATCGGTCGTGAGATGGCTCGTTTGATTTTGGTGGACAATTTGTGTATGCGACGTGTCAACGCTCGGCTTTTTCCGATTCACCTCAATTTGTTCCAAAAACACCATCGTGGACAGGTCTCGTTAGACATGCTTGATCGTGCCAATTCCGATCCAACTTTCATGGAACGCATCATAACGGGTGACGAGACATGGGTCTACGAGTACGACATGCAAACAAGCCAACAATCATCGGAATGGAGAGGAAAAGACGAGCCGAAACCGAAAAAACCACGCCAAAGTCGCTCGAAAATCAAGGCAATGCTGATTGTTTTCTTCGATATTCGTGGTGTGGTGCATCATGAATTCGTCCCTGAAGGACAAACAGTCAATAAAGCCTATTATTTGACTGTTTTAAGACGTTTGCGTGAAAATATCCGCCGTAAACGGCCTCAATTGTGGAAGGATAATTCATGGATTTTTCATGACGATAATGCTCCCTCGCACCGAGCCAACATTATCAACGATTTTAAGGCCAAACATTCAATAAATACCATCGAACAGCCCCCGTATTCACCTGATCTTGCACCGTGTGACTTTTTCCTGTTTCCCAAACTCAAATTACCACTCAGAGGAACGCGTTTTGAATCCATAGAAGACGTAAACCAGAATTCGCAGAGGGAACTCAAAGCCATACCGGAAAGCGCCTATAAAAAATGTTTTGATGATTGGAAGAAACGTTGGCATTTGTGTATCGCTTCTAATGGAGCATATTTTGAAGGAGATAAAATAAATATTGATGAAGATTAAGAATTTTGCGTTTTATTTAAAATTTCCGGAAACTTTTCGGTCACAATGTATATTTAAGCCATAAAGAAAAATTGTGTACGGATTTAGAGGAAGGTGATTGTAAATGAAGTTAGAACTAGGTTAAATGGATGATTTAAGAGTAAACTTTATGTAGGCGGTTACTGTAAGCACGATTATACAAGGGGATTTCAGTGAAGGAGTGGGCTATGTCGTCCAAATAGAGGGCTAGGAACTGAGGAGGCATGTGCCTCATAGAGAGTAGCAGATCAGTGTGCAGTATGTTGTGTGAAGTATCGACGAGCTAAAGACAACAGAAAGTTATACAACCGCTCGATATTGGCAGTAGTATAGACAAAAGATATGGGTTAGTGTTACCCATCAGATTTGCGACTGTGGTTTATATAGTTGGGAAATATTTTCTTTTCAAATACGCGAAGACATTCCATTTGAGCAGAAGAAATACCAGACCATATGGGAAAGGAATAAGTAAAAAGGGGACGAATCAGTTACTTATAGAACAGAAGCTTGCACATTAAGTTGATTGTGACGCCGTAGGGCGGTAATACATTAGATTTCTTTGTATTTTGTCGAATGTGTTAGTACAAATAATATCTTAAAACTGTTCTATTTAAAAATATATTCGAAAAAAAGTAAAAAGGAAAATTATTAAAAATTTTTAACAACATTCTTAGTTTGTACCTCGAAGTTAATGACAAGTACATGAACTGCCCTAGAGACTAGTTGGAGATTTCTGGAGATGTCTGCTAATAGATTGCGTAATGTAGTTTAGTCCAACGCAAAAAAGAGTTTTTCTAATTTTAATATGCTTGCCCTAAAAAAACGTAAGTTTGAATGTCCGTCCTTAGTAAAAGCCCTCAGTTTCAATGTTGGCAATTATGTATGCCGTTGTTACTCTTTTGAAGTATACTCGTACAAGTACAAAATAAGTGTCTCATACATTTATTTTTTCCAATAAATATAAATTTTATGTGCTTTTCTTAATTTATTAATAAACGATTCATCTCTTGTTGTAACGACACACATTCGTCATTTGTTGTGCTGAGGTAATACTCAGTCGTGGTCCAGGTTGTTGTTATAAATTTCTTTATTGACTACTTCGAGATTTAAAGAGAAAGCCAAGGCTAGATAAAAAAATTCTAGCCTATTATGTTATAATATAAGTGGATACAAAAGGCTGTAGCCTATGGCGTCAAAATGCCGGCGACGTTTGAATTTTTATGGGAGCCTAGCAAATCCGTAGGAGCATAACGAGTTCGGTTCGCTGGCGCTAAGCAATTTTTCATATATATTCGGCGTCTATTTTTTGCACGTTCACAAATTGATGCATTTCTTCCTTAAATTCGTGCATTGAACTGCGAATTAGCGCCCCCTAGTATTAACGTTTTCTTAAAGTTTGTCTAGTCTTCTACTGGCTATGCGTGTAGATGTCGATGTAACATTTAAAAACTTGTTGCCTTGATTTATCAATGAAAGATGCGTAAAATATTTATTATCTACAAATATAAAAATATTGTATGCATACTTATTTATATTATTTATAAATTTATTTAAATTTAATTTATTTAAGAGAGTAATCTGTACCAAATCGTTACACGACACTATAAAGAAATTCACATTCAATTCTATTTTTTCAAAAATTATTTATTCAAAGTATCAAATACAGTAATCTGATCTTAATCAGCAATCAAATAAAATACATGGGAAAAAAGAACACAATGAAAACACTATTTTCCTATAAACTACTGTTTCATTTATCGTAAATTTAAAATTCACTAAACTTGCACACTGAAGCTTTCATTTTATTTATCTGACATATAAATGTCAAATTTTCTACTATAAAAAAAAAATTACTTTGAAATTATCTTAACATGAAAATTTAAAATTGTATATAACATATTAAAAAAATTCGGTTTCGCATTTTTCAAAATTCCTTTCGGTTTTCTATTTTTCGTTATTCAAAATTTTTAACTCTCTTGGTTTGAAAAATGTTTCCTAGAAAAGTAATATCTTATATCTGAATAAAGACAAAAATGATTGATTTTTCGTTCTTTCCATTTATAGAATATAAATCAACTTCCTCATTCTAAACAGGCGGAATTGTACCCACATAGAAGACAAACAGAATACTATAAGCAACTTAATCCACCCAGCACTCATCAAAGTAAAATGCCTGAGCATTCGTTTGATATGTTAAATTCAAGGACTATAATTCAAACACTCCCCATAAACCCAGATCGCATTGTACCCGCATCTAATTATCAAACGGAAATAGTCAGAAATAATTACTTTGGTTAGATCTGCTTTATGTTATGGGTAATAATTATTGCATATAGTATATTGATAAATTTCATTTACTGAATTCATCTGATGCATTTATGTTATATAGACGAGTAATCCTGAAGGGCATTTAGACACCACCAGAGATGCTCATAAATATAACTTTTTAATGCATGATTGGAACTATCCAAGTCGACAGTGTGAATTGTTCCAAAATTCAAAGAGCATTCTTCGATTTTGAAATATGTTAATTTATTGGTTAACTTTCGTGCTGATATCAAATCCATCCAGAATTGTGTTTCGATTTCGGTGATATGCTCATATGTCAAGTTGTGATGAGAGGTAAAACAGAAACGTCACTATTAGAGAGATGCTCTCATTAAAGTTAGTTTCATTTTAGTTACGGAAGAAGTTCTTGAAAATATTTCAAAGATAAAAGTGACACAACCGGCTTTACAACAAAGTCTAGTAAAATCATAATAAAATATAAATTAAAGTCGTCTGGCTATGTCATAATTTTTACTGAGTATTATAAACAATTTTATGACACTAATCAACATATCTTTACTCGAGTGTAACTCACTTCTTCAATAAATAAAACGAAACGAAACATAGGTAGGTTTTTAAATCGTTTCAATGGAGAATCTAAGTTTAACTTTTCGTCTCTTTTGACTATACTATGTTATAGGTATGGTGATTTTTTATGATTGATTGGAGATATCATTGAGGACTATTCATACTCAATTTTGGGGACGTGGACGAATCTCTTTGATAGTATGATTAGTTTTTGGAAAGAGTTGAGAAAAAAGAACAAAGAACAGATTAAATGGAGGAAACACAGAAATTTAGAAAAATTAAATGGAAATATGTTAATTTAAATTTGAATGGTAAAATAAATGTGAACTAAAATTTATGATGTGAATAAAAATAAATTTATCTTTGATTTCCGAAAAAAAATTTTATATTATTATTAATATATGTTATTCTTTATTAATTTCAAGAATGAAATAACTTTTAATTAAGATTTTGGTGACATCTATTACTTATTGATCTGTAGGTCTACGTATACGAACTCAACAATAATGCAACCATAACTTATATATTCAAGGCTCTCATATAAATTTTAATGTACAAGTTTTGATAGATAAAGCGAAATTAATACTGAAGCATATACTAAAACCTCAGTTTCTAAGAGCTCAGTTTCAGTTTGTAAGACTTTTATATACTAAGATGAATTACTCCGCGAATAAGGGTTTTGAAATATTGAAGAACCGCTGGAATGATTGTTTTATTTTTGAAATAGTATATTTTGATGAATAAAATTGAATTTTGTAAAAAAGATACTTGAGCTTTAAAATAAATTAAAATGATTCAGTTTTTTTTACTACTATTTTTTGATTCATTGAAAATTATGTGAGGGAGAATTTAAACCCACAATTTAATATTTACGTTTGGTGACAGTAAATGCAAATACTTTGCGTATTTTTATTCCCTTAAAAAGGTCTAGATATAGTTCACTAAAACTGCTTTAGCATCACAAAATCAAATAATTTGTTTTAGTTCTGTGATGTGTATTTTTAATATGAACAATTTTTCGGTTCACAACAGTTGATACATTGCCCAACCCCGCCCTAAGAAACCTTAAGTTCACCTCGGGACGCACAGGAAGATATGCTGATCTACGGTCCGTCATCAGTTAGAAGATAAATAAATGATAATGATTATAGTATAGTTAAAGTTTAGTGTGGGGCAGGGATAAGCCTTCTGCCACAAAAGAGTAAAAGTGCGTAACAGCACTAACTCAAATCACAACAACAACAACAAAATTTGAAGAAACCAAATTGATATAAATATTAAAGTAAGATCTATTCCAAAGGTAACAACTTGCAGAAAAGAATCATATTTCTAAACATTTATACACATAAAAGATTTATCTTATGTCTAGAAAGGATGTAGGCATATTTATTCGAAAAATAAACAAAAGAAGGTTCACGATAATCGATAAGACTTGGTGAGCCAACATAAACCCAGTAAAGTAAACTTTCAACGCGAGAATGCAAGCCTACATAATGCAAATATCGTTAGAAATTATTCAGAAAAACTGGCAGATTCAGTTTCATCCACTGTATTTGTAGGATTTATTCCACCAGATTACCACTTGTTTATATCGGCAAGCATTAAAATAAACGAGAAACGCAATACTAATTTTGAAATAATCGGAAAATAGGAATTGATATGGATTGGATGAAGAATATTTTCAGCTCAAAATTTCGGCTTATTTTATCCGAAGCGTGGAAAAAGTTTTTTTGGATAAAACTTTTACTATGAATTCTTCTCTTAAACCGAAAAAAAGAATATTATATTATGAGAAATATTTTATACAATGCAAATAATAAAAAATTTGACAACTTATGATTTGATTTGTATTGTAATGGAAGACAAATAACTCCACTTGATTATTTTTGGGAAGGGTTTCAATTGCTATCATATTACAGAAAGAACATGGCAAATTTAAATAGCCAGTCTGTACAAAATGGCAAGCTATATTTTTGGACAATTTTAATTCTTTTTGATATTTTGCAGTTGAAGGATGAAAAAATTTCTTATAACAATATATTAAAGTTTTTGGGTTCGATGAAATCATTAAAATACTAGTTTTTTCGCATTAATTGCATTCCTAGAGTTTGTTGTCGTCCTGGTTCGTACTTATTCTAAACAATATATTATTCATTCTGAAACAACAATTGTATATACACAAGTGATACTTCTTCAAAATCCGGCTCTGACTTTTATCTAATAAGCACATAATGAACCCACAAGTAAGCTTGAGGGATTTGGATGTTTGTTCAGAACTTCATAGATTATGATCTAAAGCGCATTTAGGTGAGGCTTTTTGAAATTGAAATATAATTTATTATCATGTTGAGGCTAGTTGAGTTAGTGCACTGGAACACTTTTACTCTCTATTAGCTGCGAGGTTTCTTCATGACTCCACTTTTCACCTTGACTGGATTATTGTGTGTCACTTCATCAGACTTAGTAAAAACTGAGCTCAGATCTACATACCTTCCCGAACAGCCTATAACTATTCTGAGATTCATTAACGCGGTGTTGATACGCTTCTCAGTTTTCGTAAATATTTTCAGGGCTCTGTCCTTTATTTATTCATTCGTCCTAAGGTACCATGGTACCTTGAACACTCTTCTCAGAGCCTGACTTTGTGCAATTTCTAGCTGGTGAATAGTAGTGTTTGAGGTCTTACTGATCGCTACATATCCATATAGAAGTGACGATCGAATTATTTGATTATATATCAGCTTCATTTTTGAATTCCGGTTAGAGGTGATGAAAAATTTTGGCACAGCTAATTCTTTTCAGTTGAACATGTTTAAGTCATGTTGATTCAACGTGTAAATTTCATGATATCTTAGGCCACAAATTCCAACTGCATGTAGAAATCTTATAAGAGCCGTCGTTTATTTTTAGTTATATGATTAGATTAAGTTAGAGACGTTAAAGTTTTTATAATAAATGCTTTTGGTTATTTTGTTGACATCTTATCTTTGCCATAAATATTATATTGATTTTCTTCTTTTTCTTTCACCCAAGTTCTTAACTTAGTCAATATAACTCCTTAAACTTATATCGTCATGGTAATGGATACCACGTTTTTATGCATATATAAAATCAATATATTGTATTATAACAAAAGGAAGATACTGATTATAATTGTTTAGATTGTCTTATATAGTTGCCATTATTATTAGATGGACATAGTTTGCCATAAAATAGAAAGAAATTTTAAATTGAATGTAATATATATTATTTGTCATTTAATACATATTTTATAAAAATTTTAGTGCTCAATGATTTAAATTTAAATGTATTCTTTCAAAACTATTGCAATAATTTCCTTAATTAGCTTAATCAATTGTGTGGGTGTGACATTTACTTATCCAATTGGTCAAATTTGTAATATATTAACAACAACTAAACTGAAATTTCTTTGCAAGTCAAAATATCCCAAGGATCTGATAATAATTTATAATGATCGCTTAGCTCGCGTTAATGATCAATATAGCGTATTTAGTTTCGAGAATGAACCGAATCGCTACTTTATTTCTATTAGAGAGAGTCAAATACACGAATGTTCTGTTTTAACTGTGATAAACAGCGATAGTTACAAATGCGTTGGCACTGGAGGCGGCACCGAAAAAACCATAAATATCGAACCAGGTGGAATAAGATGTATTGGAGTGAGCTTTCGATTGGCAGACGAATTGCTAAAATATTGCTACCGAAAAAATAATAAAATACAAGCACTAATTCCAAATGCTTTTATAGCTTTTCATTATGCCAATACAAATATGTATTCCATACAGCGAGGCTAACAAAACAAAACATAGATTAATTGTACTATAATAGTTGGAAATATGACAGAAATTTCAATTTATTATTAAAGTTTTCAAAACATACTTAAATTTTTTTTAAAAAGGAAATATAACATCGATGCTACAATTGCAGCGTCGGAGTCCATGGAGAGGACTTTTAAATAAACTCCTCATACTCAATGTATGAAATATCTTTAAACATTAAAATTTACACAAATAAATTTTCCACTTCAACAATATTTAAAATATACGTAAATTAAGCATTTTATATTATTTTCGAATTTTATTTTACTACTAGTTTGTAATAGCAATGTTAAAAAACAAATGTTTTCCATATTTCTTAAAATATTTTATATTTCATTACATTACATAAAGAATAGAGCCCTAAAACTTTTTATGAAAACTGACAGGCTTACCAACACCGCGATATCGAATCTCAGAAGAGTTAGTCTCCTCGGGGAGGTATGCAGATCTAAGGTTATTACTTAGTCTGATGAAGTAGTAAACAATAATCCAGTCAAAGCTTAAAGAGAAGTAACGAAAAATCTTGCAATTTATAAAGAGTAAAAGTGCTCAAGTGCACTGACTCAAGTAGCCTCAACATTATAATTAGAACAATAAGGAAAATATCAATAATCAACTAACTATCAAGAAACTATAAAATCAATAACTTAATTTTTATATATCATGCGCTGTTAAGTTTAAACAAATTTTAGGTTTAAAGAATAACAATAAAAATTTAAAAGAAAGCCAGACTTCAAAATATTGATAGCTTTACTTTATTGCCGTTTGAAATCTTATTATATACCGTTACAGCACTTAATCGGGAAATATATGTTACTACTGGATCATTTCAAATATTCAGAATAATGATTGAATTTCAACCACGAACCAAATATTATTGTCTCATTTTCGTTTGACAATCGGGGCAGTCAGTTAAAATTTTGTATATGTTAACGTTTGGTTCAATTTTCAGTCTTTGCAGTGATATTTCTCAATGGTAATTTTTATTATATTTTTTTGTTGGTTGAAAATATACATTTAAATTATTTTTAAAAAACCATATCTAGCAAAACTGTTTGCAAGTATTTCACACCTAATGAAAAGGTCCAAATACTCGTACAACATTTAAGTTGCTATAGAATTTGATCGAAGTCATCAAATATCACGAAATTGGGACATGGATAATCATAGCCACATACATATAAAATAAGTGAACTGTAAGAAAGGTTCTATATTGTTTATGTGCTTCTCTGTACGACATAGTTGGCTATGAAAATATTTAAATTAAATTTGATTTTAAATTGTTGAATATTTTTATATTTCACTCAAAAGATTTGCTGCTTTGTCTCTAACTGATTTGGAAAGCTTGGTAGAATTTTCTGTTAATAATTAATTTGTTTGATAACTAAACTCTTGACTAAAATGTATATAGTCAAAATTATTTTAATTCTTTTGACAAGTGGCTTAATGCAGCAATCATCTGAATTTCGGTT